TGCCGGGCTGCAAAGCCATTTGAACTGCATGGTCGGTGGTTCAAGCTCACCAGCTGCTCCTTGGAAACCTTATCCAGGGTCGCTATGGGTCGGAACCGACTCAACGGCACTTAATAACAACAACAGATAATGAGCAACCTATATTCCCAGGGCCAAACACAAATAGAAATTTGGGATCTAGTATATAAAACAAAGGAGTCCTGATGTGGTACTGTAGGACAAATGCAGGACCACAAGGTTGATTTGCACCACCAGGTTGACAGTTCAAACTCACCAGTCACTCCTTGGAAACCCTATACAGGGTGACTATGAGTTGGCACCGACTCAGTGGCACTTAGCAACAACATATAAAACAAACGATACTATTTAAATCAGTTAAAGTATGTGTATTGCATTTAATACCCTAAAATAGTGTACATTTAAGTATTGAAAAAATTGAAATGGTGTTGCATTCATCATTAAAAAGATGATTTCAAAATCTATCTTGAAATACAAGTCTATATGTAATAGAATAATACCCATATGCCTACAAGAAAGACCAATTAATATAACTATTATTCAAATGTATGCACAGACCACTAACGTCAGTGATGATAAAATTGAAGAATTCTACAAACTTATTCAGCCTGAAAATGACCAAATATGCAATCAAGATGCATTAATAATTATTATTGCTTGGAATGCAAAGTTTGGAAAGAAAGATTGGTAGTTGGAATAGCTCAGTCTTGGTGATAGAAATTATGCTGGAAATCACATGACAGAATTTTACGATACTTATTCATCAAAAATGTGTCTTTTCAGCAACATAAATAGTGACTAGACACGAGGACTTCACCACATAGAATACAGGGAGTCAAATCAACTGCACCTGTGAGAAGAGACGATGGAGACGCTCAATATCACCAGCAGAACCAATGCCAGGGACCAATTGTAACAGACCATCAATTACTCATATGTGAGTTCAGGCTGAAGCTAAATGCTGGGAGCGGTTGAGGGTAGAGGACAGCTTCGATTTGCTGCTTGACACAGTTCCGGCAAATAGTGGAGTCATCTTGCAAGACAGATGGCTCTCAGAAGTTGCTTTCTACCTTCTCTTTAGAGTAATATTAAATTTACTTGTGAAAATATATAATATGGCAATATTCATAGCCTTTCACTATGAATTTTACAAACCTTAGGAAAAACTAGCTTAGCAGCAATTGCTTTCAGCTTTGATGGATTGGATACAAACAGAATTGTGTAAATTACTCCCTTTCATTAGAAAACCTAAGTAACTGCATATGTGAGACCACAAAAGCAGATAGCAAATTAAAGCCAAGCTGACCTACCCCCATAGACCTCACCACAATCAGTCACTAGCTAGAAGTCTCAAACCCCTACATACAGACACCTGCGTAAACAAGCAGACAATAATGAACTTAAGTGAAGGATAGTTTTGACTTAATAATCTACACTTCTTGCAGCAAGTAGCCAAGTTGGGCTTTATGCCACATAGCTTCTAAGCGATTTAATGAATACCTTTATTATGAAAATAATAGAACATTATGTAGGATAGAAAGTTTGTAATCTTTTAGTAGAAACAGTTTATCTCATACTGGGAAAGGAGATGAAGGTCAGTCTGAACATCACAGAAGTATTTGTGTCAAGGTTGTCTAATGACCAGGTGCAAGAATGTTGTGACTAATTGTGTAATAATTCAAAAAATGATAAAAGTGTCAATGCATGTACTGTGTAGTTTTAAGTATAAAAAATAAAGACTTGTTGGGCTGGGCTGGCAGAGAGCAAGAGAAAGGAGGGAGAAGGCAGAGGGCAGACAGCAGAGAGGGCAGACAGCAGAGAGGGCAGACAG